GGGGGCAGCGGGAAGGGCTCGGAGCTGGGAGGGTTAGGGAGCCCGCGCGAGTTCCCCTTTCCTTTGGAACAAAGGAAAGTCTGTCTCTGAGGCATCTGTCACTCCCAGGCGGGCCACGGAAACGGGGCGCGTGGGGCCGGCAACCCCAAGAAAGTTTGTGCGCTTCGGGACCCTCGGGCAGGCCGAGCGTGAGCAGAGCCTCCCGCGGGAAAAGCGCGCAGTCTCCGGGGGAGGGGGCGGCCAACATGGAGTCTGGGCTCAGGGCTGAGGGGGGGCGGGCGGCGCGGAGGTGGGAGCCCAGCCCCCTCCCCTCCCCCTCCGGGCCGAGTTCGGAGCACAAAGCCGAGCGCGCAGGCTCGGCCAGCCCCGCGCCCCGAAGAGTCAGCCAGCCGCGAGCAGCGGGGGAAGGGGGTGGGAACCAAACTTTTTCCTGCCCAGGGACAGACACGTGAGTTTTCTTTCTTCCAGAGCCTCTGCCCCACCGGGATTGCGGGCCCGCGCGGGGGGCTGGAGCGCGGAGTCTGACGCGGGGTGGGGGGCTGAGGGGTGCAGGCGCCCCGAGCGCAGGCCAGTTCCCCACCGACCTGGGAGCCATGTGCTCCGACTCGGTCTGGGCCGCGGGGGAGGCTGCGCGCTTTGTGTGAACTGCTGGGAATGCAGCGCGAGTGCGCGGACTGGGGGAGTGTCCGGCCGAGCTGAGGCAGTTGTCAGAAAGTTCGTGCGGGAGTGGCTACCAGTCGGCTTTGTGGAGCGTGTAGGAGGGTGCACCGGGTGTGTGTCGAGAGGGTGCTACTACTTCAGGCCAGTTAGGGTAAGAACTGATGGCTAGTGTGATGACGTCTGGAGTTTTCGGTTTGAGAGATCGTGAGTGGGCGAGTCGGTTGGAGTTCTTGGGTGGGTGTATATCCAGGAATTCGGCTCGTTGCGTGGGTATCAGTTCGTGCTGTAAATAGGATTTGTAAACTACATGTGTGCTTTATTTGGTGAAATTCATGGGGTTTCCGGGGGCTGAGCGACAGGTTGGAGTCAGTTACCTATGTGCTGTTAGAGAGTTGCCTGATGAGAGTGTGGGGTGTGTAGTGGGAAACCTCCCTGATTGTGAGCAGGCTGGGGTGCAGGACACCTTGGTGGAGAGATCTGTGTAGACTGAGAGATCGTCTCCACGGGCCACCGCTGGAACCCTGCAGACTGGAACTTGGCTGGTAGCCAGGGTGGAATTTGTATAGATAACCTTGAATAAACTTCTCACAGCCTGCCACGGCTGCATCCCTGAGCCCAGATCCCAACTGCCCTAAACTTCAGAAACCTGACCTCAGAGAGCAGTCGTTTTTTGGTGCTCTCCGAGGAGTGGCACCTCTAGCCAATGCCTGTCTCACCTCCAGGTGGCCTGGCTGGGAGGGTGGACCCTTCCCTCGAAAGCCTGGCCTAGCCAGCTTAGATATCTGGGCGCAGGCCCAAGTCCATGAAACAAAACCTGGGAAATGCCAGAGTCTGTTGGCCCAGCCTGCTGGGGAGCTGTTAAAAGGCTGAGGAGGGAGGAGCCTTGAAGATTCTGGCATCTGCTTGGCCTGGAACTTTTGGTTTTAAAATGTAAATCTCTTTTGCATGTGTGAACAAGAATTCTGTCAGGGGGCTGAGCAACCGGAGTGGGGCTGTCTAGGGAAACACCTTCCTTTGAGGAGGGGAGGATGCTTGCCCAAGGTCACACAGCCAAGTTGGAGGGACCAGAGCCCTGCCTTGCTCATTTATCTGGTTTTCTGAGGATTTGATTCTGGGACCAGGCCAGGAGCTAGATGACAAAGGGAGAATGTCTGAGACAACCAGTAGGGTTGACTCTACACTCTGCAGGGTACACAGTAGGTGCACAGTAAATGTTGCATGGATTGCTGTAGGACCATGGTGATTGATAGTTTCCTGACTTTTCACTGGGTCTTGGGAGACTTGGGAGGCAAGATGGTATAGAGTGTGGGGGTGGGGGGCAGCAAAATGCCTTGGTCCAAACAATAACCTGAATGTTAGTTTTTTTCCATAGCAGCTTTATTGAGATATAATTCACAAAGCACAGAACTTACCAATTTAAAAGGAACAAACCAGTAGTTTTTAGTACAGTTGAAACTTGAACTACATGAGTTTGAACTGTGCAGGTCAACTTAATACTGGAATTTTTTCAATAAATACCTGTACTGTTTTCCATCTGTGGTTGGGAGCCCACAGATACAGAGGGCCAACTGTATGCATTGTTCTCCGCCATTTTATATAGCGGACTTGAGCACTGGGGGTTCCTAGAACCAATCTTCCTTAGATACCAAGGGACAACTAAGTTTAGAGGGAGTCAAACGTTATTCGCAGTTTTTCGAGTGCATGGGGTTTGGTGCCTCTAACCCCCACGTTCAAGGGTATATTCACAGTCAGTTTGAGAACATTTTTATCACCTCCATAGCCTTTAGCTGTCACCCTTCTATCTCCCTCTAGCCCATTCTGGACATTTCATAAAAATAGAATCATATAATGTGTTCTTTGTGACATGTTTCTTTCACTTAAAGAATGTTTTCACATAACGTTTTCAACGTTCATCCACATTGTAGCGTGGATCAGGGTTTCAGTCCTTTTATGGCCAAATAATATTCCACTGTATGGATAAACCTCATTTTGTTTATCTGCTCATCTATTGATAAACACATAGGTTGTTTCCACCTTTTGCTATTATTACAATTAATGTTACTATAAACATTTTCGTACAGCTTTTGTGTGGACAAAGGTTTTCATTTCTTTTGGGTAGATAACCAGGAGTGAAATTCCTGGCGCACATGGTGACTCTCTTTAATGGCCATAGTACCTTGGGCAGCTTTCTTTATCTCTCTGGGCCTTGGTTTACTCATCTATAAAATGATAATAGTAGTGTCTCCCTTACAGGGGCTTTGTGAGAATTGAATGAAATAATAAATGTAAAGTGCTCAGAACAGAGCAAGGAAAACAGACGCCAGTGGTATAGCTGCAACTATTTCTGGTCTAGTACTGCTTATTAATGAGCTGCCATTTATTTCAGTAGGCATCTACTGGCCCCATGAAACAGATGCATTTGGGATTCATTCCTTCTCGTTTGCCCTTACTGTGGTATGGCCTGAGACTTTTGTATTTTTTTTGGTTTGAGACTCTGAATTGCAATTCCCCCATAGTTCTGATATTCCAGGCTCTAGTAATAATGTGTTTGGAGACTTAGGAAAAGGATGAGAGTGCATGGTAATCATGTCTCCATCCCCTTTGTCACTTGCTCCAGGCTTGCCCGAGGTCCAGCCTAGCCCCTAGACACCATGTCAGACAGTGATCTGGGCGAGGATGAAGGCCTCCTCTCCCTGGCAGGCAAGAGGAAGCGCAGAGGGAACCTGCCCAAGGAGTCGGTGAAGATCCTCCGGGACTGGCTGTATTTGCACCGCTACAATGCCTACCCCTCTGAGCAGGAGAAGCTGAGCCTTTCTGGACAAACCAACCTATCAGTGCTGCAGGTAAGAAGGAGACCTGGGTTCCAGTCCTGTCCCAGCCCTGTCACTCACTGTGTGGCCTTGGGCTGGTCACCTCCCTCTCTGGGCCTCAGTTTCTTCTTGGGCCAAATGAGAACACCCATTCTCCCAACCTCGGGAAGACAACATGAGGTCACTGCAGCTAGATTTCAGATTTCAGAGAGTTCTGAGGAGGCAAGGAATCGTTAATGTCAGGGTTTCATTATTAACATTGGAGGCCATAGGAAGGCGAGAAGACATCAAGTTCCTGGGATCTGGCACCCAGGCCCAGAACGGTGCTTGGATGGCACCTTGATTGTAGGGGGCAGCTGGTGATCTGCAGAGTGGTTAAAAATTGAGTTAGAATCACGGTCAAGGAACAGGCAGAAGTCAAAAGTTCCAGATTCAAAACCCAGTTCTGCCACATAGAAGCTGTGGGCCACACCTTGACTTCCCCATCTGTATAGTAGGCGTTACAACCCTCCCCTGCCTGACCAAACTGTTGTGAGGAACAGATTCAGAACTGGATGTGAAATTGCTTTGAGTACACTCAAAAAATCGTGTTATCCACTCTTTGTCAGGGCAAGATATTATCTCCTTTGAATTGCCCAATTGCTTACCTACAGGTACTTTTGCTGTTTTCATGATGCTGAGGCAGGACACCCTGGACTATACCACTGCCTTGCCTCCAGTTTGGCTCTCACCTACCTGGGAGACAGCCTAGTAAGGGCCCACCCTGCTTCCCTTTCCTCCTCTGTCCTTTCCTAGCCCATTACTCCAATCCGTGGTGCAGTCTCACCCTCCTTCCCTTATCCCATTGTGAACCTCCCAGGTCTTCTCAGCTCCTGTCCCTCCATGAAGCCACAAGGTGAATATTAGTCCTCAGAACTTCTGTCACCTGAATTATACTTGCTGGGTGCTTAACTGGAGTCTACGAGAAAGGCTTTAGAATTACAGACCTTGACTCAGATCCCATCTTCTCCACAAGAGGAAGCCTGGACCTTGGCCAAGTCACTGCCTCTTCACTGAGCTTCATGTTTCCTCATCTGAAAAAGGGAGATGATTGTAGCACTTTCATAGCATGTAAGGAAGAGGGACCAAGAAGAATTCAAAGTTCACTGTGTGATGTTTGGCACAGACTGGGTGTTTATGCTCTCCTTTTCATCTTCATCCCTACTAGATCATAGGTCTTGGACCAACCCCAGGTGTCTAGCAGTGCCTAGCATCTTGCAGTATACCACTGAGCACCCTGCCGTGCCCAGCTCTGTGCTGGGCAGAGTTGGGATCCCAGAGGGGAACCAGATTGATTCCTGCCCTCAAGGAGTATCAAGTCTGGGATGGGACAGCAGGAAAGACTTGGCCTCTGATGTTTGCAAAAAGTGATCACTGCTGGGACAGAAGGCAGTAAAGACAGAGGGCAGGGCTTCTGAGCTGGACTGGGGCCTCAGAAGGCCTCCCAGAAGGGGTGGGCTTGAGCTCACAGGATGTAGAACAGCATAGGTCAAAGTCTGGAGGCTGAGAGAGCCAGCATTACCTAGACAGCCTCGTCATTGGCCTTCCTGCCTCCACCCTTGGTCGCATGTCAGTCCATTCTCTTGGAACACAAAATTACAAATCTTATTGTTTCACACACTCCAGGGACCCCAGTGTCCTCGGGATAGAGTCCAAACTCCTTAGGAACTTAGCAGGCTCATCTCTCAGTTCTTCCTGTCTCTGGGACCCTTGAACTCTAGGCCTCCAGGCCTCCTCCCTTGGCTTCTTCCTTATCTTTCCAAACCTGGCTCACTCCATTTAAGCATTTTCTCTTGAAAGTATTCTCTGAACCCCCCCAGCCAAGGTTTGAGGCCACTGCTGTGTATTTCCACAATGCCACATACCAGTGCTGTCAAAGCGCTTGTCACACTGTTGAAATTGTTTTTTGTCAGAGACACTTTCTTAAATCTGAGTAATGTACCAACTCCTTTTGAAGGGGTGTATAAAAGCCCTTTTATAAAACCATTTTTAAACAAAGCAAAAGTTTACAAAAGAAAAACAATACAAGTAAAGAATAATTTGCTTCGGATGTCCCAAAAAGAGAAAAAAATAAAGGGGACTGTACCAACTCCTCTTAAAATAGGTTTTTGAACCTGCCTCACCCCAACATGTTGGTTTGAATCATTTCTATTATCATATCACTTAAGCGTGTACAAACATAAAACTGGGTGAACATGTCTTGCACATAACTATAAAATAAAGTTTTTCCAAAGTAAACTAATGTACAAAGTAAGTTAATGCAAGCATCTCACTGCATTATTTTTAAATGGTGGATGGTATTTTGTCTACCGGGCTGTGGTATGTAGTATGACAGAGGCACTGACTCTGGAGTTGAGCAAGTCTGGGTTGCCAGAGGCCATGGTGCTCTTATAATCAAGAATGGAAACAAAACCAAAACCACAGCATTCTTGTGGAGAACTGGTGAACCCCTAGGACAACTATCTCCAGACCTTACTTAGAGAAATGTAGATCTAGGGCAAGAATCAGCTGCTGGGGACTTTTGAAGGAGGACAGGCTGGAACCCAGCATCCCGTAGTGGGATGGGTTCTGGTGGCGGCCACCCTGCTCTAGAGTCATGCTGTTAAGCAGTGGGGGCCACCTGGCACTCCTTGATAGAAACTGCATCATGAATTCCTAGCCATACACCTCTGCTTGGAGGTCTCAGCAGGCATCTCAAGTTTCCTGATTGATAACTGATAACTTCTAGCTGGCTCCTTCCCTTTCTTAGGATTCCACTTTATAGCCCTTTCTCAGCTCATTTGGTCAGTCACCAATTCCTGTACATTTACCCCCAATATATTTCTGGAGTATGGCTTCTTTACTACCCTGGTCCCAACCTGTCATTGTCCCATCACTTATCAGCATCCCCTCCCTGCACTTAAAACCCTTCAGGGGCTCCTGCCAACCTAATGACAGCATCACCTCTTCCCTGTCTGCACAGCGGGTTTCCTTCCTGGAGCCCCATATTCCTGCCACACTGATTAGTACCCTAAACCACTCTACTCCCACCCTGGCCAGCGAGACTCCTGACCCTTAGAGGAGCTACACGTTCCCAGAGCACCAGGCCTAGGTCAGCATTTGGACCCTGGACTGTAATTGCCTTTAAGAACACCAAACTCCACAGGCCTAGTCTCACTTATCACTGTACCCCAGGTGTTTAGCTCAGTGCCTGGTATCTGGTAGGTGCTCAGTAAATAATTGTTGAAGTGACAGAAAATGAAGATAAAGTGTTGGAAATGTCAACAGGCAGGACCTCTGGAGTAAGGAAATGTGGCTCCTCAGTCTGGAAAAATGGTCCTAAGTCCCTGGAGACATCTCTCTTTCTTGTATTTAACATTTAAAATTTCATTGTTTATTTAAAGTATTTGCAACTATTCATAAAAGAATATTCTAATGTACCCGCGGTACCATTCACCTGGCTTCAGCTAGTAATAACATTTTGCCAAACTTGTTTTCCTCTCTCCCTGGGGACATCTCTTTTGATTGTCTCCTTCACCCGCCCAGGAACAATCTCATTAGCAAGTCAATGAGTCATTTAACTAACTGGTTTGCTGGTACTTGCCCTGGGCTGAGCGGTAGGGAGGGTGAGACCGCCCCCCCCAACACACACACACACAAAAAAAGGCATTTATGAAGGATTTTCACAGGTCCCTGTGACCACCCTCTCTAAGCCCGCTTTATTGCTGTGGTTTCTAACTGTTCTAAAGGCCTGCCTGTTAGGGAAGGAAGGTAGTAAGCTAAACGTGGCAGGGAGGGTCAGGCTCCATTCCTTCACTCGAACACTGATTGGGGATATGCTCTGTGCCAGGCCCAGTGCTGTGTGCTGGAAACAGCTGTAGAACAGGCAGTATTCCTGCCCTCTGGTAGCCGCCTGAGGGGCGGGGGAGAGAAGACATTTAAAAAACTAAGAATTCAACGTAATTAATTATCAATGCGCGGTGCCTGTAGGAAGTTTCTCAGAAAGCAGCATTTGAATGGAGTCCTGACAGACTGAAGGAGTGGGGCCTCGGCTATGGGGAACAGCGAAAGAAAGGAACCTGGTACAGAAGCTGTAGTGTGGCCTGCCTTGTGGCAAGGGGTGTCCTGGCCCGGCTGCTCTCCTTACTCTGGCTGCAAAGCTAGCTGCAGCCCTCTGGGGACTCTCTCTCCACCTCAAGGCACTTCATCTCTATGTACGTTTTTTGAGTTTCTCCGTAAGCTTTTTTTGCTTAAAGGATCAGCCCACAAAGACAAGTTACAGGAGTGGATTAAACCACTGATTCCTAAGCCTGGACGGCAGAACTCTGGGGTGCTTGTTTAAAAACACTCATTCCTGACTCCAGCCCTCCCCGCCTCCCGCCCCCCACATCTGCAAAGCAGATGAAAAGTAGCTTTTCTTAAATCACCCTCAAGGTGATTCCAATACAGCCAGCTGCCTTTAAGAGCACCCAGATTTGGGTGGTCACAGCACAAATGGAGGTACTGTGAGTTGGGGAAAGGTCCATGCTTTCACTTCTCTCCCCTCTTTTGCTTCTATCTTTCACAGCTGAAAAGACATTAAAATTAAAGCACTTGTGTCGCCTTCTTCAAACGCCCTGCTCTGATTCTCATGACCTTCATCAGCTTCCTGGGGCCCCTCCCACTCCCATTTGCTACAGTGATTCCTCCCCTGTCTTTCCTCTGGCACACTGATTAAAAAATAAAAAAAAAACCACACTGACAGGCAACAGCCTTTCAGACAGTGCCCTGTTTTATGATAGAGACAGGCTTTCAGGCACCCAGTCAATTCTGCCGTATCGATCATAGAATTCACCTTGGCATTTTCCCTACCCCTTCCCCAGGGACCTTGAGTGGGGGCAAGTCACATGCTCTTTTCCTGACTTAGGCATGGGTCAGGCAACTGGAAGAGACAACAGAAAATCCCGATAGCCCATTATCACAGCTGGCACTGGTGGTGCACTCAGGCTTCCCGCTCTTGTGCAGTCCCCCTCAGCTGTGCATTTCTATCAGATGAGAAGACAAAACAGTAAGCTGCCAAGTTTTCTGTGGACCTGGGTGAGTGTGTAGAATATGTTGGGGTGGGAGGGGGTGTTTTTCTGCTGTTCTCAGAATTGTAAGCCAAAATGGGAGGTGCAGCTGGGGGCTAAATGCCCACACAGCTGCTAGTAAACGCCCAAGACTGCTTTCTCAACAAAAACACTCGTCCCTACTTCGCTTGACCCAGGTCGCTGTGATCTGTTTCTGCTGCCTATAGCAGTGAGGTGGAAAAGTGCAGAGCTCTCCTGTAGCACAGGTAGCTGAAGAGGCAGCTGCGGGATGGAGGAATGAAAGCATGTGAGCAAGGAAAAAGGGCCTCAGGCTGACGGATTCTCTTTAGGCCTTTCACCTGTCTGTGCTGGTTGCCTGTAACCAGGCTGTCTGGACCAGATCCCAGCCTTTGTACTTGTGACCTTGAGTAAGTTACTGAACCTCTCTGGTCAAGGCCTCTGTTTCTTCAGCAATTCAGATAAAATTGGAGATCATCACAGAACCTGTCTCATAGGCTGTTGAAGATTAAATGAGTAATGAGATGGAAAATGTTCAGAACTAGCACCTGGTATGTTTCGTGTTCAACGAGTGTTTGCTTTTAGGATTATGAAGATGATGATTCAGCTATCTGTTCTGTACCTCTGTTTGGAAAGACCCAGCAAGGCAGAGTAAGAATAGCAGTAGGGCCCTGAAGCCCAGAGAACTGAGCTTGAACCCCGGCTTTGTACTCAGGCTGTGTAACTTAGGCAAGTTCTTTCGTCTCTCCTTTGGGGATACTGTTCAATACCCTTCCAGGCTTGTATGTAGATTAAATATAATGCAAGTGAGTTGGGGGGCATGATAGCCTGGTATCCAGATGCTTAGTTTCCCTTCCTTCATTGCACCCAGCTGTTGAGCTTCATCTCTCCTTGAGGATCCCCTGCAATTCTAGCCAGGATTCAGCTCAGCCAGTGTCTGCTGATGCCTGCTGTTATATGTGTGCTCGGTTTACTGGGGGGACTATAGTGGTAAAAAGGGGTAAATGAGAACCCCAGGGGCAGGGTCTTTCCAGGCAGAACTGGAGAAGGGAGAGAAGGGCCACAAGAAGGCTCTGGCTCTGTCCTTCCCAGGAATTTTCCCAGACTGACAGGGCCTGGGTCCAAGTGCTGTCCTTGGATCACTCATGGAATGAATTCAGCTACAGCCTGCTGGGCAGAGGCCGATGCTTACTCCAGGCACCAGCTCTCCTGTCATAGGTGGCTATCCTTTTGGCTAGGTAGAGATGGCCCTTGGGAAGATGGTACCCAAGGACTTAAGTGCCTAGGTATGGGCCAAGAAAGGTGATAGGCGGGGTAGAAACTGATACAGGAGCCCTGAGGAGAGCTGAACCTTTGCTCCATTCAGCAAACATTAGAGGAATATCTTGAGGAACATTGAACATTACTGCAGCCCACACAGTTCCCAACATCCCAGCACATGGGAGGTGAAGGAGAGGGGGTCCTGTCTTTTCTTCCTCCTATAGCAGCCAGTTGTATGCTCTGTAAGTATCTCTTGATAAACTGAGAGGAGAAAAGAGACAGGGCCAGGAAAAGGACAAGGACCTAGAGTGTCAGAATTTAGGTCAAGATACTGTTTAGGCCTTTAGTGTTTTACCATGGTGTCCGGCCTAGTGAGATTAGCCCTGCCTGCTGTTAGTTCCTTAAACCAAACCCTTTCCTGCCTCAGGACTTTGGCATTTACTGTTTCCTCTGTCTAGAACATTCTTCCCTCAGCTTTCCGAGTGGCTGGTTGGCTTATCCTTTAGGTCTCAGCGTTCTCAGACCCCTTGTCTACAAGGCCTCTCTTATCTTTATATACTACCCTTTTGTGCCATTCTCCAGAACTAGGTGGACTGGAAGCTCCACAGGGCAGAGTGCACGTCTGTTTAATTCACAAAGGTATCACCAGCACCAAGAACTGAGCCCGGCATACAGGTAATCGCTCAATATTATTTGAGTGAGCGTGAAGCCTTGAAAAGGGGAGTGTAACAGGAAAGTGAGAAGATCTACTTGACTGTTCTGGTAAATAAAACAAGCTGGGTTTGGAGACCCTGTGACAGCTTGCGAGAAAGATTCAGAGGAGGGGCTCCTGCTCCTCCAGATCCAGGGCCCCAGGCTTGGTGATCCCTGGCTGGAGGTGGAATCCTGTCTGACTTCTCCAGGCTGAGCTTTATATGTTCATTAGTAACATGGGAGTTGATCAAACTCAGTGCTGACATAACTATTAGAAGAAAATTGTGTAGCTGTACAGTGCTCAGTGAATGGCAGCTATTGGTAATCTCTTTTCAGCAGAGGCATCTAGAGAGACACCCGGACTGTGGATACCTACTAGGCCCACCCATGCCTCCACCTGGTTTCTAATATTTCTTCTCTCCTGCTACTTCTGAGCTGGCTGAGTAGTTATGAGGCAGCGTTGGTGGCCCTTTTTATGGAGGGCGAGAGGGAGAAGGACTTGTAAAAAGTGACAGGGCATTCTGTTTGCCTATTTAAAGGAAGAGTTAATGTTTTAAAACATGTTTTGTATTTATGAGCTTAACCAGCCATGCAGCCAAGGAGCTGTTTTCTAGTCTAATCCATAACCTTTTAAATAATGCTCAGGTGGGCTATGGTAGGATCAGTCTTGCCACATCTCTAGGCCATCAAGAGTAAATGAAAGAAAAGTGGGTATGGGTGGTTGATCTTATAGATGGTCAAGGATGCCTGCTGCTCTTGGGTGTGCAGAAACTATTCACACTCTTCCTGAACAGCTGTCTACCCTCATGTTATCATTCGTTCATGTATGAGGAGAAACTGCCAGGCTGTCCATCCACCATAGGTGAACAGAGAGGTGTTTTGACTCCCTTTTCTCTGCTCTGGCCCTATTTCTAATACCTTAGATCAGCCAACACTTAGAGTAGGCATTCTCCAGGTGGAGAAAGAGGGCATTCCCTGAGAAAGGAATGTGATTTGCAAAAGGCACGAAGCTTATTTTTTATTTATTTTTTAAAGCACAGGGCCTTTAAAAAAGGCTGGTGAGCAGTTTGCACATGCTGTAGAATACAGGGCTGGAAATATAGACCATGATAGGGAAGGGCTTAACACTCAGGCTCAGGTGTCTGGACTGGAGACATGGCATTAGGAGACATGGCAGGAATGAGTTGTTGCATTTTAGAAAAAGAAGTGACAACCAGTGAAGAGGCTGAATTGGAGAGCCATGAAGCTGGGGCTGTTCAAAAGAATCCAGACAGATATGGGTCAGTGTGCTAGAATGTCTTGGTTTTGCAGCATGATACTTAACAGTAAAAATTTCATGCCTCATGCATAGGTCCAAAAAGATTGATCTAAACAATCAATTAGACGGGCATGGGGTCAAGGTTAAATGGTAGTTTACCCAGGAGCATGTAGGAAATAAGATTTAAGGATGTTGGCTGAAGGCGCACATTCAGCTGGAGCCACTGATCCTGGTTTTCCTTGGAAACAATCATTTTCTTCTACTCGACAATCTCTTGGTGTCTTTGCGGCCTGCAGCAAGACTCTGCTCTAGAAACTTAGGAGTGAATCACCCTTGGCACCAGGTCCTCCCATTTCCAGTTTGCCAAACAGACCAAACATTTGTTATTTTGTCATCTCCCTTAATGTAACTTGAACTACTAACCCTTCTCTCTGCTTCCATTCTATTCTCCACTAATCAGGTTGCTCCTTTGCTTAAAACCCTCCTGTGGCTCCCCATTGCCCTTAGGATAAAGAATGAAATTCCTACTATGACGTAACCTCTAGTTACCACTGAGCTCCAGCCATACAGGCCTGCCTTCCCTGCAGTCTGGTTCCACCTGCCACAGGGTCCTTTCAGAGGTTGATCCCCGTAAATCGAATGTTCCTCTCCCTTCCCACTTCCCACCTAACCTGCTGCTCAGCCTTCAGATCTCTGTGAGCCATTTCCTCGGAATACCGGCCCGAGCCCACAAAGACTAGATTGGGTCTTCCCATTGTCGTCTCCAGCAGCACCGTTGCACCTTCCCTTCATTGGCTGAATCACAGTTGCAATTTTATATTCATTTGTATGATTTCTTCTTTAACTCTCTCTTCCCAGCATGAACCTCTCTGAGGACTGGGATTTTGTCTGTGTTTGCTGCTATATTCTGGGGCTGGGAACATAGGTGCTTCATAGCTGGTTTTGATTGAGTGTACTGATGATGGTCTCCTACTCTCATTCCAGATATGTAACTGGTTTATCAATGCCCGACGGCGACTTCTCCCAGACATGCTTCGGAAGGACGGCCAAGACCCCAACCAGTACACCATTTCCCGCCGCGGGGGTAAGGCCTCAGATGTGGCCCTCCCCCGTGGCAGCAGCCCCTCAGTGCTGGCAGTGTCTGTACCGGCCCCAGCCAGTGTGCTCTCCTTGTCCATGTGCTCCATGCCACTCCACTCAGGCCAGGGAGAGAAGCCAGCAGCCCCCTTCCCACAAGGGGAGCTGGAGCCTCCCAAGCCCTTGGTGACCCCGGGTAGCACACTCACGCTGCTGACCAGGGCCGAAGCTGGAAGCCCCACAGGTGGACTCTTCAACACACCGCCGCCCACACCCCCAGAGCAGGACAAGGAGGACTTCAGCAGCTTCCAGCTGCTGGTCGAGGTGGCGCTACAGAGGGCTGCTGAGATGGAGCTCCAGAAGCAGCAGGACCCGTCACCCCCGTTACTGCACACTCCCATCCCCTTAGTGTCTGAAAACCCCAAGTAGGCATCTGCCAACAGGGGTGCTCGAGGCTCGAGCCAGCTGTCCTGGGTTTCTGTTTTGGTTCCCTTTCATACAGAGGGTTTTCTCTGGATCACTGCCAAACATCAGGATCATCTCCTCTGTTCAAGA